ACTACAGTAGATGTAGTTTGTAATTGTGCTTGTTTTAGTCTTCATTTCCAGTTTTGGAGTTTTAAAATCACAGTTTTTCTTCACAAAAGTAAAATCAACAAGCAAATAAAAATGTTAACACACAAAGAAGAGGTGATGCCTTTAAATTTTAAAAAGCTTGTTCCTTGTAAATGTCTTTATATGTATTTTGACATTTTTAAATAAAATGACAAACGTTTTTGAAGGGAATTGTCCACGTCAAATTTAAATTTTAATTCATTTAAACATCACATTTACCATAAAACATTAGTTTATCCAGTGTTTCTCTTGTTTAACAAATAAATTTATTTCATTTTACCTATAGAATACTCACATTAACTGTTTTCCTATGTAGGTAAAAATCTGTTTAACAACCTGTATGCACCAGAATACACCAGAATGCAGGAAATGGYGTTTACTTATTTAAAATTTTTCTGGGGGAGGACCCCCAGACCCCCCACCAGTGGGTCCCCTCAACATTACAAATACTTAGTCTTGTTTTTTGTCTTTGAATGTCATAAAATCAGTGATATTATTTGTGAAATTACAAATTGAACATCTGTTGGCAAATCCTTAGCTTTCTATTGCCATAGTTTTCAATTTGCAAATTTTACAAACACATCATAAAAATTTCTATTATAGATATTAGTTTTGGTGTGCCATCCCTGGTTTTTCAGTGGCCCCCCTTGAAAACATTTTATACAAGCGCCACTGAACAAGAACCAAGGCTAATCATTTCTTGTCGAAAGATCTCCTGCTTCCTGGTTTGGTATTAATAATTTGTTAAAAGAAAATGTGCTTAAAAACCCAAATAGTACGTGATTTTCTAAATTTATACTTGTGTCAGGAGATACTAAACTGCTTCTGGCCCTTTTAGCGGTTAGCAAGAAAGTGATTAGGTTTAAACAACTAGAAGAACAGTTTTATGAATTGGCGTGGAAGGAGAAAAAAAAGGAATAAATAAATAAATAAATATTAGAAAAAAAATCCAATTTACCCAGAAAAATTCCTGTGGAGTAGCCTTTGGCAGTAGGTTTCTCTTCCCTGTCTGAGTGCAGGGGGAAGCAGACCCCGTTACGCCCGTAGTAGTTCCCGAAGAGGTCCTCGTTCATGAGCGGCACGGCGGCGATGATGAAGCCCAGCAGCCAGAGAGAAGACAGGATCACCTTGAACCAGAGCAACACAGGCTGATAAAAACACCTCTTCAAACATGGAGAACGCTGTTAAAGAAGAAATGTTTTATCTGAATGCTCGTTTGAATTCATGGTGGTTGTGTCATTAGATATGTTTGAAAGCAAAATGTCTCACAAACCACTGGACAGATTTTYTTAAAACTCATAAAGTAATCATTGGATGTGCTTCTACAACTGATTATCTGGAGTCAACCGGATTCAAGATGGCGGCTGCAGCTGATCATTTTAACCAACACTAAGATGCTCTAACTCAGCCAAGAAAGCACCTGTAAGAAGCATACACAACACAAACTACCAGAAAAAACACAAAAAGGCAAAAAATAGCATAGAAATAGTAGAAAAAAGTAGAACTACAGTWAAAATAGCAGAAAACAGCTAAAATTAGCATAAAAGGTAACTAAAAGTAGCAGCCAGAGGTTGAAATTAGCACCCAGATGGTGAAATGGTTGTAAAAAAAACCTCTAAATTAGCAGAAAAAAACCCATAAAACTACTAAAAAGTGATCGTTTGTGGTAAAATATCTAAAACAGCCGAAGTTTTCAGTAAAACAGCTAAAAAGTAGCTGGAAACCTTTTTTTTTAAATAAGGATGCATAAGGAGCACAAGTTTGCTGAATTTAGCAGAATTTAGTTGTAATAGCTACAAAAAATATGTTTTAACCTAAAAAAGCCAACTTTAGCAAATACCAGCTGAACATTAGCTAAAAGTGCAGCAATTAGCTGAATATAGCAGAAACCATCTGTAAGAAGCTTAAATAGCACAAAGTAGCAGAAAAAGGTAGGAAAAAGCTGAAGAATAGCAGAAAGAAGCAGAATTTTAGCTGAAATAGCAGAAAAAAAATAAAAGTAGCAAAAAAAGGAGCTAAAATTTGCACAAGGGAGTAAAAAAGAGCAGAACCAGAACCAATTTTGTAAGGTTTTGTAAAGGTTTAGAAACAATTTGAAGGATTTTAAGGTTGTTGAAAACAGCCCCATTCATTTTCAAAGGCAAAAAAGTGGCTAAAAAGGTGAAATAGCTTAAAAAATATAAATAGCTGAAATACCAAAAGTCATAGCAGGCATGGCATGAAAGAGCTGAATGTTTTGATATATGAATGGTTGAAGTCGCACAAAAATTGTGGAATGAGAAAGATGCCGAAAAACGTTCGGAAGAAAAAATGATCTCAATGGTGATGATGTAATGTGATGTAATGAGGTAATGTCATAATACAAGAACAAAATCAGTCACATCGTTTTCAATTTCACAACAAGAAAATAAAGCCGGCGTTCTCAAAGCCCTCTCTGCGATGAAGCGAAAAGCGGCTCCACAGATTTTAAAGTTCTTCTTAGATCTGTCTGCTTGGTTGATATTATCTGAAACAGGTCAAATTTGAAGGTCACACGGAGTTATTTTAGGATTAATGGCAACATCTGAACCATTCAAGCTCTATAGTTGTACCACTGAAGCAGAGCAAACCCTTTTGAACAGATGGGCAATTATTGGACAATTCAAACAACAAGTGTGCTGAAAACATTTTTAATATTGTTATTTTAAATAAAAGTGAAAAGATGTAACGCTTTGAACAAACTATATTTGCTGGAGACTTCTTTTCTGTAGTCAGAATTCATCTGAACGCATCAGTCATAGACAAAAGGCGTTTTTGGCACGGGCCACAGCTACTGTAACAAAACTGATCCTTGGTTATCACCTCACATGCATAAGTTCGTGTCCTGAACTGATTTAACAAGATTCGCTCAATATCTTAGTCTTGGAAATGGAATTGTCATCTGATGGAAATTTCATCAAATCTACCATGCAGCTGAATATTATCTGCACACGTTAAATTAAAACAAATAAATAAATTGTACATACAGTATATAGGCCACACTTGTCTATAAGCCACAGGTGTCCACATTTTAAACATGAGACATTTACACATAAAGATGTTACRCAGAAATACTGCTTTAACTTTTAATTAACGGTAACACACACAAATATGTAAATGCTTTTTTCCCAAACAGTGTTTGTAACACATCGCACACACACACACGCACACACATAAAAATAAAATAAAATAAAAATAAAAAAATACAGCAGCCTACTAGAAAAAGTCATTGATCCCTAACTTCATTTTCTTCTTGCTCAGTAAACCCACTGAAGTCATCTTCTTCAGTGTCGGAGTTGAACAATGTCGGCCCCACGCAGTAAAAAAAATCTTAAATTAGCATAAATTAACTCAAAATTATCATTGTTTAAGCTGCAATATTYAAAGTGTGTGAAAAAAGTTGCAGCTTTTAGTCCGAAAATTACGGTAACGTCTGACTAGTTGAGATATTAGCTTAACATTACGGCGTTATTAGTTATTTAGCTGGAAGAAATACACAGAAACATCCTTCATTATTTATTTCCAAATGTTTGAAATCACAGATATTTAAAAGAATTAGCCTTTCTTGTCATCATTAAAACATCTRTGCACAAATAAGGCAGGTAGGATTCTGAGTACCTGGAACTTATTTAAACAGGAAACATTAATCGGATCCTTTCTGTACGAAAGTCTGACTTTCCAGCAGTTACGTTTTATAGAAAGACGGAGCTGAAATACTCACTTTCTGAGAAAAAATACACTGTTTACAAAAACAAAAACTTGCATTTATTTCACCACTAAATAATATTTAACATACTTAATATACGTTTATTCAAAAATTAGATCCAATCTGACATCTTCTGTTTCAAATATCTATCTTCATGCCATTATACTC